TCACAATGGACAGAAAATATTGCACAAAATTTCCCGTAAATAGCCTAACCTAAGCTACCCTAACCTAAGCTAACCCAACCCAACCTAACTTAACTTAACCTGACCTAACCTAACCTGAAGTAACCTGACCTAACCTAACTTAACCTAACCAAACCTAACCTAACCTGACTAAACCTGACCTAACCTAACTTAACCTGACCTAACCTAACCTAACCTGACCTAACCTGACCTAACCTAACCTAACCTGACCTAACCTGACCTAACCTAACCTAACCTAACCTGATCTAACCTGACCTAACCTGACCTAACCTAACCTAACCTGACCTAACCTAACCAAACCTCAGGGGGGGAAATGACAGGGTTGACAAAGACAAACTATTTAACACGAATGGAACTCGAACAAGGGGACACAGGTAGAAACTTAGTACCCAGATGTGTCACAGAGATATTAGAAATAATTTTTTCAGTGTCAGAGTAGTTACCAAATGGAATGCACTAGGCAGTGATGTGGTGGAGGCTGACTCCATACACAGTTTCAAGTGCAGATATGATAGAGCCCAGTAGGCTCAGGAACCTGTACACCTGTTGATTAACAGTTGAGAGGCGGGACCAAAGAGCCAAACCTCAAAACACACAACTTGGTGAGTACAACTAGGTGGGCACACACACACACACACACACACACACACACACACACACAACACACACACACCACACACACACACATATTTGCACATATATATCTCAATAATGGCTCTAATCATCATTTTAATCCAGAGATATTAGACAAATATTCCAATGACCATGTACAACATTTTAAAATGCAATCTTTCAGATATTTAAAAGCAAAATTGAATGCTTACTTCAATTCATTTAAAAGGTAATATATATAAATTTGCTTAACAAATTCCAAAATGTAGCGCACAGGATTTTTAAATATCAAACATATAATTTTGATAATACAATTTTTACACTGAGATTTTTTTTAATATGTATAGACAAAAAAAAACACAGCAAATTTAATATTTATATTGCATATTAATATTCAGTTTCCTTATTTATTAAAATTAATTTTATTAAGCGAGAACAGTGTTATTGGGACTGAAAAGCATTACATGATAGAATGTCATGACGATTGGGCAATGTTTTAAAATATTTTCTCGTTGATACTCATGTAAATTTTTGTTCCGAAAATACTGATCTCACGAGAGCTGCTTCGTCGCCTCCTCAGAGGATTCGAACCCAGGCCACCAGGGTTCGTAAGAATTAACACCAGCAGCACCACTACTCCAGTGATGTATATATATATATATTATATATATATATTATATATATATATATAATATATTATATATATATATATATATATATATATATATTTATAAGATAACAGGTAAATACTTCTGACGTACGCAGAGGTCACTGTCCCCACGTACGCAGAAGTCACTGTCCACCAATGTTCTCAATTATCTTTATCTGTCTACTCTCCCGTGACAGGTGTGGGAGATAGACACAGGCCGGCTGGTGTTGAACACATCCGGCAGCACTCCGGTGTTCTCCGCCCGGCCGTTGGAGCCGGATAGGAACTACAGGGCGAGTATCCATGCCTACAATTCCCGAGGTCGGACCAGCCCCACCAGACTCCACTTTCTCACACTCAAGGAAGCTGAGATGCACAAAAGTGAGTCCCTGGTTTGAGGCTCCTTGACTCCCTCAAAAACAACAAGACACACATACACACATACACACACACACACGCAAGCATTGTTCTATGTAACCAAGCTGGAAATAATACCTAAGATTATAACACAGTGGAGCATGTTTGTCATCAAATTCTGTCAGAGAATTTGACGGAATTTGCTGTCGAATGCTGTTGCCAGGGATATTAGCTGTGCTCATCCAGCTGTAGCTAACAAGGTGGCTTAGTTTAATTGTCTCCTCGTCCCTAGGAGCGGTAAAAATAAATAAAATATAAACACATTTTCACTCATTATATAATTCTCTGAGAGTTCATTCCCCTCTTATATACGATAAAAGATATATCACTGGTTATATTTTCTTATATATTTTTTAAAGTTGTTTTCATATTATCTTTTTATATCTGTTTTGTCACGAAGAATATAAATATCGTCATTTATATCATCAATATCATTTTGTCACGAAAAAAATTTATATCATGATTTATATCATCAAATATGATATAAATCATATTTTATTTATGATTTAAATCATCAAATATCATCATTTTGTCACGAAAAAATATTTATATCATCATTTATATCATCAAATATCATCATTTATATCATCAAATATCATCATTTATATCATCATATATCATCATTTTGTCACGAAAAATATTATATCATCATTTATATCATCAAATATCATCATTTTGTCACAAAAAAATGGTTAATATATGTCTTATGTTGACCAGATCACACACTAGAAAGTGAAGGGACGACGACGTTTCGGTCCGTCCTGGACCATTCTCAAGTCGATTGTGAATGTCTTATGCTGTCTGCTTGACGTGTCTTGGCAGGTCTGCCGTCGATGGTGGAGCCGTCACCGCTTGTGCTAATCATGGGCGTGGTTGCGGGCGTGCTGGTGGTGGTGGGCGCCCTCCTGCTGGCCATCTGGCTGGTCAAAGAACGAAGGACACACGCCCATAGAGACACCACCGTCACCCAGATCGTTCTCAAGGACAACAATCCGGATCTGTTGAGTAAGTTGATCGTTCGTGGATTCGTGTCTCGATCGCTGCGTGACGTTGATTGTATAATGCACTCATTCCACAAAGGTTTTGGTGTGGGGTTTCGAACCCAGGCGCTGTGTGTGTTCCCAGACGCGCTCTAGTCAACTGAACCACGACATGGTGTGTATATATATATCTGGTATATCAAATATTCATTTAGTATATCACGATATTGTGTTTTGTGTGTGTATAGCTGAGTGTATTCTCAAGTGTATTTGTAGGTTTGCCTTTTTTTATCGCGTGTAAATTGTTATTTGTTTTAGGTGTTCTGTCGTAGGATTTTCTTCACTGGATATTTGATAATTTATGGATATTAGTCTTTTGTTATATATCCAGTGTGGGTATACTCGTCTCGTTGACACGAGGGGGGAAGGGGGGTGACACATCAAGGGGGGGAGGGGGTTGACACAACTAGGGGTGAGGGGGTTGAGAGTGGAGGGGTACCCCCCCCCCCCCCCCCCCCTGCTCAGGCAGGGGGGGGCTACGCATTAATTAAACATTAATTTTATGAGTCAAACATTAAACAGAGAATTATTCTCATATATATTTATTTTGTAACATTTAATGGCTTAAAGTTACTAACTACTAGCTGTTGCGGTGAACATTTGTCACAACTTGAATGACTCTCTCACACTCTCACTCTCTCTCTCTCTCTCTCTCACTCTCTCTCACTCTCTCTCTCTCACACTCACTCTCTCTCTCTCTCCCTAGGTGTGGAGGCTTCTGAGGAAGGAGCAGCCGTGAGGGTGAATGGCTCCGTCAAGGCGACAGTATATACATCTTCAGGTCAAACTAATGAGGTAGGTGGAATAGACAATAAGGAACAGAGGTTCACCGTGTATTAATGGTACATTTATGCATTCCGTAATACACCGCTTCGTATGTTAATGTATGTATTCACAGTCTAAACAATACAGAAAGTGTATCTTAAATGCAGGCGATGAGTCACAATAACGTGGCTGAAGTATGTTGACCAGACCACACACTATCTGTATCTTAAAGAGTATATCTTATCTTAAAGAGTATATCTTATCTTAAAGAGTATATCTTATCTTAAAGAGTATATCTTATCTTAATGATATGTGTATCTTAAAGAGAGTGAGAGTTAAACCCTTGGTGATGTACAGGCAGCCAAGGAGCTTTGAGTCTCTTGCAATTCTCAACATTCAACGTGAACATTAATCTATTTATCAACAATTGAGAGTAATCTCTTGCTAACATTTTTTAGTCTGCTTACTAAAAATAAATTTAAGTATATATATACTAAATTTGTATGCAAGCTTACTCAATTGTTCAATACCTTCTAAATTTTTGAGTGTGAATACTGAAACATTGAGGAGACCTTCTTAATCTTTGTAGGTTAGATATCATTCTTGCAAGATTGCTAAGTGTAAAGGATTTCTAACTGCTGCTAAAGTTGTGTATTTACTCAAGCTTCGAACTCAGGTTGATGATTGATGAAGATTAAGCCACTCAAGAGGTGGCACGGGCATGAATAACCCGTAGAGATGACTCATGTAGTTGATCTGTGATGCTAAGATGGATGTTTCTCCTACAGATGTCCAGCTACCAGAGATACGACGAAGATGCTGCCTCCCTCTACGGCTCGTCCTCTCCGGAGGCCACGGAGAGGACCAGGCTTACCTCCTCCTCCAACTCCTCTTCCTCTAAGGGCGGTGGAGTTGGAGGAGGAGGAGTAGTCCCGCTCGGCCGGACTGGAGGTAATATAGGAGTAAACCTCCTACGAGGAGGCCTCGGAGGACCCTCCACGTCTGCGGGAGTGGACATCGAACCTGACCTCAGAAGACAGACGACTGTCAGGCTATTCGTCACAAGCAGTCCAGAGGCATCGTTCTGAAGGGAGACAGAAACTAACTACCCTTTTAACCAATAATTAAGAACCTGTGCTTCTCGAACGATGGTTCCGAAGTCTGTGTAGAAACAGTGGATCCACTCAGCAACCCGCCCGCTGAGACGCCCCCAGTTTAAGGCCGGATGGGATAATTATATTTACCATACAAATTTGAGGAGAAGTTAGAGATATCTGACAAGTGATCTTGAAGAGATTTTAGGACAATGGGGACATTTGTAAATGGGTGTTTGAGGCTGGTAGCTCTCAGGACATCGTTAATGGAAGTGCTCCAGCGCCCCACTCTGTCTGAGTTAGTGGGTTCCAGTCCTCTGCTAAATTCCAGTTCTCAAAGGAGAAATAAGTGCCATATTCTCCTTAACTGTATAAAACAGAAAA